CACAAGATACATTCTCCCCTTAGTAGCAAGAATAAATCAAACAGTTGGTGTTTTTTTTTTTCTATAAATCCTTATTCCGTGTTTTCAGTCTAATTGGATCAATCAGATTCCTCGGTGGATTGATGTCTTCCCTTCTGACGCAGCCTGATGCTTTCATTGCCTGGAAATAAATTGGTTGTGTAGAAGCTGCCCTTACCCGCTGACCCGCGTCTGTCTCTACGTGAATTGTGTTAAACGAGCCGTGGCTGTGTTGGTGTTTCCCTCTCGCCTCTAATCCGCCGTCTGACAGAGACCCGTCACACACCGGCTGCTGTGGACCAGCCTGACCCAGGGAGACGCCAGAATCTCACTAATTGACCCCCCCACCCCACCCCACCCCGGAGGGAGCTGCTTCCATGTGCAAATTATGAGTCCGGTCACATGACTGGTATGAAGCCAATCCAAATGTATTGGTTTAGAGGGAACAGAGCTGGAGGGGCTGCTGACAGATGGTGTGGAAGAAAAGAGTCATTTTAGAAGACATGGAATCAGAGCTTTGAATGATTCTACCTCATTCCTCTCTGCACCTTAATTAAATCATATCTGTATATTCTTTTTTTTTTAAATAAATATTCTACTCATCTATGAACCTTTTCCCTTCTTTGCAAAGGTGTACCTGGTCTGTGAATGCATTGCAAGGGGTACATAAAAATATTTTATAGAATAGAAAATCCCTTTATTAGGCTACGGAAGAGGATTAGGGCCACTGAAAAAAAAAAAAAGTAAACTGATTTTTTAATTTTATTTCAGTTTAGCATGGGAAAAAAGTCAGAATTCTGAGATTAAAGTCAGAATTCTGACTTTTTTCTCAGAATTCTGACTTTTTTCTCAGAATTCTGACTTTAATATCAGAATTCTGACTTTTTTTTATTGTCAGAATTCTGAGATTAAAGTCAGAATTCTGACTTTTTTTATTGTCAGAATTCTGAGATTAAAGTCAGAATTCTGAGAAAAAAGTCAGAATTCTGACTTTTTTCCCATACTATACTGAAATTAAATTAAAAAAATCAGTTAACTTTTTTTTTTTCTCAGTGGCCCTAATCCTCTTCCGTACTTTATTGTTCCTCAATGGGGGAAATTCTGGTGTTTAAATGGTGAAAAAATTGTCACACAAATAAGGGTTGTCAAAAGTATCGACACTCAAAAAAGTATAGATACTGAAACGTTGTATCCGGATACAATACTCATTTTCAAAAGTATAGATACAGCCATCTAAAGTGCAGAATAGAGGACAATGCACTTTCAGAACACTGTGATTGAATAATTCTGTGCATTTTTCAGTTTCAGACTTTTTTTGTAACAGGTGCTGAGAATTTTTTTGTTTCTTAACCGGTTTTGCTAGCGTCATTGTTATGTCTGCAAAGCATAGCCAAGGAAGGAACACTTTATTTTAATTTATAAGTTTTTTATCAAGCTTGCTTAATATTGTGCACAGCATAGAACCTCAAAATATTATTCTTATTGTTTTTTATTTATTTATTGTATTTTTTTTAGTAATGAAAATATTTCTGTTGAATTTTAGAGTCTTTGTTTTTATCCTTGTGGTATTGAAAATGGTATCGAGTATCGAATATTTTACTTAGTATCGGTATCGAGTTGAAAAGTTTAGTATCGTGACAACACTAACACAAATACAGACCTTAGAAAAATGTATAAAAATAAACAAAAGAAATACTTTACTATAAAGAGCTTTAACAATATAAAACTGTGCACCTAGAGAATAAATAACCAATATGCAGCTATGGACATTTTTTTTTATAGTAATGGATATTTGTAAATGGCAGCAACATCAGAATGTGCAGAATGACGTTGGGTAGTAAAATAAAATAAGGCTGGGATCTGCTTTGCTCTCTGACCTTTTATGAACCAAAAAGTAAGTTTTTCTTATATGTTTGAGTTCACATTCAGCTTAAAAGAAAAAGTCCGGTCAGTGAGGAATAATCAATGCATCATTATTTATACCTAAAACTAATATAGGGTTTATACTAAGGGTGCACCGATTGCAGTTTTCTGGCCGATTTCCGATCACCGATCTTTAAAAAGTCTGACCTGCCGATTCCGATTTTTGGTTAATACCGATTTTATTATTTTTTTGCTATAACCAACACTGTGTTACAAGATCGCAATTCACTTTCAATGTTACAATCTTTTCTTGAAAAACATGCCCTTGAACATTAGCCTTGAACCATTATAAACTTGTTTTAACTGCCCATGAGGTAGAGCCTTGACAGAGAAATGAATTAAATAATAAATATTAATTAAATAAAACAAACTTAAGACTACAACATTGGTCTTTAGATTTTTTACATTTCAAATTAACAAAACTTCAACAAAAGATCAGAAAAAATATGGAATAGCAACTGATTTTAAGACACTCGCGGAGGTAAATAGATTGGTGGTTAAGATCGGTTTCATATGTAAATATCGGCCGATCACCAATCACCCTAAATTAAGGAAATCGGGACCGATCGATCGGCCGGCCGATTTATCGGTGCACCCCTAGTTTATACAGGAATGAATAACTCTAATTTAATGCTTTTAAAGCTCTTAGAAATAATTTTAATGCCACCAACAGGTAGCCGTCGACAGGCTGCAGCCACGCCCCGAATTCCTCGTTTCCAACCACTTTTGTTGAAATTGACATTCTTCCTCATTCTCTAGCTTTTTCTCCGACTCAAGCTTCTTTTCCGAAAATACGTCTTTGCGATCAACAGGAAGCAGTTCCACGCAAATATATCATATGTCTGACGAAATAGTTTTTATAAAAAAATTAAGAAAGCATTTTAAATGCAACAATAAACACGTTTAATGAATTTTAATTAGGGGTGCACGATATAATGGGCCCCCTATCGGTATCGGCCTTAAAACTGAATATCGGACATCGGCCACCCCACCGATATTTAACCCGATATTTGATCAGCTTCTGAGATTCTAAAGTCTAAAAAAAAAAAGATTAAAGAAAACTACTTCTTCTTCTTCCTCAAAAACGTATTTTTTACAGACTTAAAAACTTCTAAAGACGAGGGAAAAAATATTGATACATTAAAATATCACAATATCTTCCTATGCTGATATATTGCCATTTAAAAACACCATATCAATCTCTTTTACTAATGAAATATTGCTATATGTCATCGTTATGCTACGAAATCCCCCGAAAATTCACCAAATGTTGCCATATTTTTATATGTTGATATATTGACGCGGTATCGATCTATTTTACTAACAAAATCTCACAAGAATTTGCAAAATATCACGAGAGTTTGTAACAGAACGATGAAATTTCACCAGATTTTGAAAGTAAAATAGATCGATACCGCGTTTTTAAAAATCAATTTCATATCAGCATATGAAAATACATTTGAGTATATTATTTTTCAAAGTATCAGAAATGGATAACAAAACTGCTATTTTCATTGACTACTTATTTTTGTCCAGCTTTAACATCGGTATCGATATCGGTTATCGGCTACATGAGTTTTAAAATATCGGCATATCAGATATCGGCCAAAATCCCAATATCATGCATCCCTAATTTTAATGCCAATTAAGAGCTTAATTTAAAGACTTTAAATGATTTTTAATGACCCGCGGAAACCCTGTAATACGTTTGCGGTGATTTAATTAATTTATCGGTAATCATAAAAAAAAAAAAATGTGTTGCGATCACAGAATCTGGTAGCAGCCATCTTTGTCCAAATATTGTAGCCCCTCCCTCCTTCCATCTTCCAGCAGTGACGTCACGGTGCGGTAAGCCTAGCGCCATTCTCTCCGCTTTTACAAACAAAATCAATTGAACTAGTATGTCAGGAGGGAGGGGTTACTATATTTGCGCAAAAATGGCCGCTCCCAGACTCAGTGATCACGATGAAAATTATTTTTATTTTCTTAACTGATTAACGCTAAATTCATTAAATCACTGCGATCTTATTAGTTTTGGGTATAAATTATTATCCATCAATTATTCCTCGCTTTTCTTTCAACAATCCATGTGATACTAAAAAATAAAAATACCTCATTTCTGGCTTTTTTAACCAACAATTGAATCTTTTTGACTGAAGTAACTGAAATTGTGAACCGTTTATAATTCATGTTCCTTAATAAATGACCAAGTTAAAAAAAAAATAAATTGTACGTATTCCCAAAGCATGACACTGCCACTACCATTGTGGGCTTGAACAACAAACTTCTTCAGATTCTGGCTCCAAAGCTGTAAAACTTTGGGACGTTTTAAACATTTCAGGATAAGTTTGATGGAAGAAAATCATTTTAAATTCAACATTACTCCATAAAATAATCCAGATTTAAAGTTGGAAGTGGTCTCAGGATCGCATCGGTCACAGAAAGCTGATTTTTAGCAGCAATATTTAACCTTTTAAAGACAAAGTATTGATTTGTGTTCATACTAACCCTAATATCATATCTGGACTAAATGCAGAACTTATTTAGAACAAAACGTAGCCTATATGTCAGGATTGCAACTAACGATTATTTTGCAAATGGATTAGTCTGTCTAACTTTTTCCATTTAATTGGATAACCGAAGGTTCCTTAAAGATTTTTTTTTATGAAATCAAAGCAGGCGAAACTCAAACTTTTCCACGTGAGGAGTTCTGGATTATAGAGCAGATTGAAAGACAAAAAAGATTTTCTAAACTTAAATGCAAAACGTTAGTATATTTTTTTACAATCTTGGTATAATTCCTGCTCTAATTGGATCACTCAGTCAGCTAAAGACAAATAGTTTAGTCTCTATACTCCAGTTAATAATTAATCAATGACTGAATTAGTTTACGATTATTTCAATAATTGATTAATCATGATTCATGCGATTGTTTCAGCTCCTACAACTATACTCACCAGCATAAAGCAGGACAAATATATAAAAATAGAAACAGAATTAGTGTAGAAGTTATGGTTGCCACATTATTATGATCAAATAAAGAATACCTGCTTAAACCATTAAAGGTTTTCAATTTATTTTATTTAATACCAAAGTAGATGTGGAACACAGATTAGGCTGTAAACGATCCTAAATGTTGTAGTTCTACAGAAACCAGAAGCCTGAGCATCACTTGCTGAAGGCCATGAGGAGGTCCCCCCACACACTCAGACCTCTGACGTCAAAGTCACCATCAGCAATCTTCAGCGCATTGAACTCCTCCTCTGTTTCTGTCCTTAGAGAGGGACAGGCCTCAAAGAGGGTCTGAAGGTCCTGCGTCACTTTCTGGAAGGAAACAGCAGAGTCTGTGTGAATCCATTCACCTTCGTTTATCCTGTACTCCATCTCTGAGGCCAACTTCTTTAAAAAGCTGCAAAACCCATCTCTAAATTTCTGGTGCCTTTTTGCCAAGTCTGCAAGCAGCTTAGAAGGCAGCTCTGAGCACATGTGCTGCAGCACGACGTGTCGACTCTGCAACCAGTCTAGGAGAAAATCCTGAGAAGCAGTTTGTGTGGCTGAGTCTGCGGCCGTCAGCAGAGCTGCAGCCGTGACTAAACACAAATGCTCTGCTGTGCCCTCAAATTCCTGAAGGACGGAGCTCATAAAATCTTCTGCCCAGCGAGGATGGCCGCTTCGGCTCAGCTCGGACCCCAACCTCTCCATCAGCATCTCCCCCTGGACCTCAGCATCCGCACCAACAGTTCGGGGCTCCAGATGATGCAGGACCTTACAGGCAGATTTGTACTGAATGATCTGGCTGCAGAGGCCTCTGACGTCTTCGTAGCCGCTGCCTGTAGCGTTAACAGACATCCTGGTGTCAAAGAGCATCTTCATGATGGAGGAGGGCAGAGCAGAGTTGTTCAGCAAACACAGGAGCAGCAGGTCCTGACAGCGACCCAGATCCCGGAAGTACACGGCCTTATGTTCAGGAAGAGCTTCCCTCAGCCGGTGATTGGTCAGCTGCAGCTGCTTCTCCAGGACTCCTCTGATGGGGGGGTTACTGTGGAACCTGGCGTGGATTTGCTCACAGTATCTAGCCCAGTGGAAAGCCCTGGACGCGGCCTGCTCACCCCACTGGCTGACCTCACCGCTGAGGGCAGACACAGTCAGCAGCTCCACGGTGGAGGAAACGTTCTTTAAAACGGCCTCCATGTGGCGCTGTCCGGCTGGGCTGCAGATCTCTGACCCTGATGGGCAGAAAAACAAGCTAAAACTCCACCAGCAGCTGGAAGTTAGCGAGTTAGCTAACAGTTACAAGAGCTAATGATGAGATTACAACCTTAAATAGTCCGAATGAAACCTTATTATAACAGGCAAAGCTTCATCTAACAGCTTAAATCCTAACATAGAAACAAATAAAGGAGAACTAATATAAATTCTTTAAAACTTACTTGTCTACTTTCTTTTCCGTTTGAATTTGTGTCGCCTTTTCCGCGCGCATGCGCACTGGACACTTCTTCTTCTTTTTATGGCGGTTGGCAAGCTACTTGTTGATGCGCATTACCGCCATCTACTGGAATGGAGTGTGGATCGGGACGCTATACACACACACAAAATATATAATAAGTTAATAAATCCTATATATTCTTTCTATCAATTTCGTTTTCTTAATGTAATTCATTAAATAACAAAAACATTTAGAAGTAGAGTTTGTCCAAAATATCTTGTATATTTAACTGCAATTTTCTCTCAAACGAATATTTAGAACAGACTAACAAAACATGTTTCACTGTCTCTTTTTGAAAACAAAGATCATAATTTCCTGTTGGATGTTTTCCCATTTTAAATAATGTATTATTTAACCTTGTAGGATCAAAAGTTAATCTGGATATAATAGTTTCCTCTTTTCTATTTCTTCCTGTTCTCCTCATTTTACCAACTTTTCTTTGAATGAAGCAAACTTAGAGTTTTATCCTCCTCCCTCTGCTTCTGCCATATTTCCTTAACCTTTTGTTTAATAATAGATTTAATATGTTCTTTACTAAATTGTACCAATATAACAATATGTTGTAGCTTGTTTTGCATCTACCTGCCAACTCATTCCATGTAAAAATAACTATTAAACCCATCGCCTGAATTCTATAAATGAACTATTGAATCTCTAATAAAAGGTCTGGTCTACTGATAGAATGATTACATTTTTATTGAATATAATGATGAATTTGAATTCAGAACATATTATACTTCTTAAAGGACAAACTTCTTTAATCCATCCTAAAGCCAAAATGATTCCCATCATCTCTCCTGTATAAACCGATAATCCATCAGTGATTCTTTTACCTTTTTTAATACCGAATTCTAGAACAATGAATGACACCCCACTATTGCTATTTGAATTTTTTTGAATCATCTCTATAAACTTGAACATATCCATAGTACCTATTGTACTTCTTCTTCTTCTTGTAAGGTTTTATGGCGGTTGGCAGACGAACTGAAGTTCATTGCCGCCACCAACTGATAATAAGTTAAACTATGAAACAGGAAACAAGACCCCTACCCCCCCCCCACCACCTCAACAAATACATAAATCAACAATTAATTTATAACTTTCTGAACTATTTCATTTAACACAATAAATAACAAATACTTAATCAAATTCGTCCTCATAATTTCTAATTTATCTTTAAGTCATTGTCATTCTGCCAGTTCCTGATGGTCCTACTGGTTTCCGGTCATACTTTCAACCGTTTCCCAGTTTAAATCTCTAACTTCAAGATACTTTTCTGCAGCTTTCACTATTATTTTGATTTTTTCTCGGTTTTCTTTGATGTCTAAGCACTACAATTGATCACTTCTACCATGAACAGAACAAAATCCTTCTTTTTAACAATCAATGAATCTTCTGTAATTTTGGAACACTCCTAAAAAAAAAAAAAAAAGAAATACTAAAACATAATGAATAATTAAAAAACAGTTTTCTAGATCTCAAAGTCTTACCGAGCGAGCATATGCACATAAACATGTGAAACATCTGACCAATTCATAAGAATTACAATTTTTTTCACAAAGACCTAAATAACAGCCTATCCGCACAGAATCCCATAAAAGTAAACATTTGTCCACCAAGAAATTACTCACGTAATAAAGTATTCGGTTAAAAGGCTACTCGAGTACTGAGTAACTGTTGGATAATAAGATCAGATTTAATGCTTATTAATGATGCTGGCAAACAGACTTTATGTGAAAATTCTGGCTTTTTAAAGAGTCAAATACCTGAAGAATACAAATAAATGTCATGAATATAAAAGAAGAAATTTGGGCAAAAGAAAAACTTTTACAAATTTATTTTCAACATAAACCAATCCTTACAATGAGAGCTGAATATATGTCAGAACAGAGTAACCACTGTTAATATCTACTGTTTACTCCTGATTTTGGAAGAGTTCAAATGACTCACAGAGGACCTAGTCAGAGATTTTATTATAAGCATAGGTTATAACATTTTTTAGAAGATTTTTTATTAAGCATAGGGCTTTGAATCCTGAGGTTGTGAGTTCGAGCCCCACTCCCACAGACTGCCACTCTGGGTCCCTGAGCAAGACCCTTAACCCCACTCTGCTCCCCCGGCATCCCACTGCTCCCCAAGGGGATGGGTTAAATGCAGAGTAGTAATTTCCCTCTGGGATTATTAGAGTATATATATATATATATATATATATATATATATATATATATATATATATATATATATATATATATATATATATATATATATATATATATATATATATATATAAGACTAGGCTTAAAACTTTCCTTTTTGATAAAGCTTCTAGTTAGAGTGGCTCAGGTTATCCTGAGCTATCTCTATAGTTCTGCTGCTATAGGCTTAGACTGCTGGAGGACATAGGGACCCCTTTTTCATCATCTGCTTCATTCTATCTCTATTCTCCCACTCTGCAGAATCTATTAGTTCAATCTCTAACGTTCTGCTCTGTCTGCTTTTTCTCATAGTAGCTTCATCTGGTCTGTTCCTGTTTGGCTGTGACTCCATCCTGGAGAGAAATATCAGCTGTGCTGCTGCCATCAACACCTTTGTTTCTAGATGTTGGAGCTTGGCCTGTTTTTCATTGTAGTCCTGGGGGTCGGGGGGCAATATTAACCCTTTAAAGCCCGATCCAAGAATAAAACAAAACATAAAATAACTTTTTTTTGGTTGAAGTCCTTATTTGGCCTTTCAACAAAATATGTAAAAAGAAAAAACAGAAATACATTTTTGATATTAATAATTTATTACTATGCGATAAGTCAAGATTATTTTTTGTGTAGTCTTCTGCCCTCTGTTATCAGGTATATCTGATTGTGTACAATAGGATTTTGAGCAAAATTTTTACCATTAAATTATGCAAAAGGTGTCAGATGCAAAACATTTCAGAAACCGTATGTATCAAATACGATACGTTTGGCATTATAGGGTTAATGTTTTGCCGGCGCCCCTGATTCTTCCTCTTCAGCCCACCTCAGGTGTGAGCTCACTCCCATCACCGTTTAATTTACAACTCGACTGCATCGTCAATATGGTTCCTTACAGGGAGGGGATTAATCACTAGGCAATACTAGGCAGTTGCCTAAAGCCCCAAGTTCCTGGGGGCCCAAAAATCTCTGTTTACATGTATGGTTAATACAACTATAAATTTTTTGTGCACATTAATCATGTTTTTGAAAAAAATCCTTTCATTAAAATGCCATCAGAACGCTGATAATATTAAGTGTGTCTCAGCCCCCCCCTTCAGTGTCCACCATATTGGATCAGTCCATTTGCTGCACATGTTCAGAAAGGTCCAAACAGACAGCAGCAAACCATTTGAAAACAAACCATGCAAAGAGCAGTGTTGCCAACTTAGCGCTTTAGTCGCTATATTTAGCCACTTTTCAGACCCCTCTAGCACTTTGATTTCTAAAAAGCTCCTAGCGCCAAATCTAGAGACTTTTTTCTGCTACCGGAGACTTTGGAGACAACATCTAAAAGCAGCGAACTCTGCTCTCCAGAGCGAGTAGATTGGTAACCCCGCCTCCTGCTCTCCTCTATCTTGTCTGCTGTCATGATTCATGCAGCTATTATTTCATCCAAATGAAAAATGGAGAACAGATAAGCAGATCATGGCTTGTCTACAGTGAAAAGAAGGACTGGGTTATTTACTTTGGCCTTTTTGGAAACACAGGAAGGAGCAATCAGCTAAGTGAGCTTAGTGCTTGGAAAAAATCTTTCATTCCTTTAGAGACAGCATGAAAAGTCAGCTGAGTACAAAACATAGAGAGGAAAATAAGAAGAAAAGGGACAAGAAGAGAGGGACACAACCTAGAACAGATAATGGATGTCTATTCTATTAACATTTCTACATCTGGAGAATGGGGCTGTTTGATGTGTTGTCTTCTCCATTCAGAGGGGCCCCCTGCCTGTCTTTGCACAGGGCGCCAAATTCCCTAAATCCGCCCCTGAGTTTCACATAGTTTTATTTTAAAAACTGTTTTTAGCTGCATTATGTATTCTGCATGTAAAAGCCTTTTTTTAAAAACTGGGTAAAGCTGGGACGGTTCCAAAGTGTTTCTACTAAAAAGCTTCGGGTGATGTTTAGATCGAAGGTTTTCACATGAAGGAAACAGGAGGAGGAGGCATGGCCAGCTGGAGCAAACTTCCCTCCCATCATCACCATCATCATCATCATCACCAGTAGCAGCAACAGCAGCAGCGCGCTGAGAGTATTTGCGTTGGTCAGATCTGCGCGTAATGCGCTCCATGACGGACCTCCTCGCTCCTCATCACCTCCTCAGAGTTTTGGGGACTAACTTCTGCGGTGGAGAAGCATGAAAACTGGACGAGTGAGCTGAAAGGTGAGCCTTTCACTTCCCAGTCTCCTCTCAGACCGATTCTTCTTCTTCTTTTTTTATCTATTAAACTTGTTCTGGATTAAAATAATTTCTTTTTTTGGTTCCCTTCTCTAATGCAGGGAGATGAATCGCTTTTTTTAATTAGTGAACTTTCAGCTGAACTGCAGACATAAGTCATCAGGCGTTCACCCTTCATCTCATTTCCAGACTTGCAAATTGTTTCTTGTGGCTCTTTTATTGTGAAAGTTGTAAAAACGGAGACAACTTTAAAAAACTTATGTTGCTTTTGACTTTTACAAAGAATTCCTGAAGGGGAGCAGCAGCAACATCAAAGTTTTTAGCTCTAATTGGATTAAACTTGTATAAATGTTTTTTTTATTGTTTGCATTCTTAAATAAATTCATATAATTCGCAGTTTTTGCTCATATTTTCTGCAGGACAGTTTGCCTTGCAGTGAGTAGCTGCAACAGCTGTTATAATCTGATTTGAGCAAGCATATAGCTTATCTCCCAAGGAAACTTCGCAGAAGTCCCTTGTTTAAGTGCATAACTCCGCCTCTGGATAAGTTAACTGTTGTTGAGGGTAAAGAAGTGGAAGCCAGTGTGAGCTAACTGCACAGAGACACTTCTGTGTTTTGTAATTGATGTAATATGCAGTCAGAGTTCCTATCCGTTTGCCCTTCCTGCAGCAATCTGGGACATGTTGGGATGAAAAAAATGTGCATTTAAATTTGCTTATTGTAATGTATTCTGGAGCATGAAACATTCAGCTGACCTAAATTTTAAAAATGATCTTTGATAGTACAGCGGATTGTTGCAGACTTGATTTTTAGGAATGAGGGCGAATCGGCCAAGTTACAGTGTGGTGAGAAGCATGAAGAAAGTCTAACAATGTTCCCTTCAGAAGTTTGTTTACTTCTTTATAAATATCACAGAACTTTACGAGAAAGGATAAATTAACTCTTAGTGATTACATTTATATATATTGCCTTTATAGCGCCTTACGAACACAAACCCTTTAAACATTTTTCATATTTTCAGCAGAAACTTCAAGGTTTTTGATCTGTGTTCTCTATAAATTATCAACAGTAAGTAAAGCTTACTATTCAAGCTTTAAAATCACCCAAATATCTGTAAAATCCATCATAATGGGATAGATTTAATTCCTACAAAGAAACAGCCGTCCTCTTAACTGAGTCTAAATAGAACTGTAATAACGGTAACTCTGGAGGAGCTGCAGAGAGCCACAGCTGAGGCGGGAGAATACGTATGCTGTCGTACGATAAGCTGGTGAAGATTCTCAGTCATCCAGGTAATAGTTATTCCAGAAAAGTAAAAAAAAATTCCACTAGACTTTGTTTCCAAGTTTGAAGACTTTTAATTTTCCATCCAGAAAGGGAAAAATGAAAAAAAGCTTCCTGGATGGGAAGCAAAATGTCTTCAAACCAAGTTCAGTGGATTGCTTTTAACTTTTTTGGAATCTAAGTCGTACATTTAACAAATCTATCCTTAATGGAATTAAGGATGAATTAAGAATCCTACTTAGCTTTCTACTCTCTGTGTAAAACTGTTGGCTTTGGGTTCCCTCTGAACCTGCCAGCTGCACTGTAAAACATGGCGGAGGCAGCATCATGCTGCAAGGCAGCTTTTCGTCAGCTTGGATCAGGAATCTAAGAAAGGCTGATGTGAATATGTAGCTGTTAGAGGCTGCGAAAGACCTAAAGTTTTGGTTCTCCTCCTGCAGCAGCGTGTCGCAGTGAACTTGTTGCAGATATTTTTGATTTATGCCCAATACTGAAGCGTGGTGGCGAGGAAGTTGGGGCAAGTTTGTGAGACAACGGAGGGGCATGAGGGCCAAAAAGAGCGGGGATCCAGGTGGAAAAAGGCTCCCAGCGTTCTCGCCTCGCTCTTCTAGCTGCTCCATCTTCACCAGTCGTTTTCCACAATGGCGGTCAGACAAGTACCTGTACGTATCCTTTGGACGGATACACACAGGTTTCATAAACAACCCCCCCCCTCTCTTGTTGTCTGTGCGATCGAAGTAGTTCTAATCAGCATCATTACGAATGATTGTATAGCCTGCCCGCTCTCACTCGCATTATAAAAGCACCACCTCCCATCCTGTAAAACATGGGATCATTTATCCGACTCACGGCATCCGTGAACAACTATCTATAACAGGGAGATCCCGGAACATCCGGGATACTTGGGATGTCTGCCTCCTGTCTGCGCTCACCTACAATTTTGGAGGGGGGGGGGGGGGGGGGGGCATATCTACGAGACATGCAGCCGACCTGATTTCTGAGTATAAATCAGCCATGAGACTGGGAAGGATGCTCACTAACCTTTGGAATGGGGGTCGTTTGGTTCCAAAGGAGTGGACAAGTTCATCCGTTTCTATTTGCATGTTTTCTAAACTAAAACCAGGCTTTGTTGGGCTGCTGGATAAAACCTGGAACTAAACGCTATTTCTGACATTTTGAATTAAAAAAATTTCCTGGATGGAAGAGAAACGTACGGAGCCCCTCTGATGACATGGTCAAAAAAAAAGTTTAATTGTGGCCACGAAGTAGTATTTCGCGGCCCCGCAATAACTTTAACGTGCGCACGAAATACTTATTAATAATATCAATAAATCCGCCCCTGTTTTCAGGCTTATGTTAACTGTAATGACTTATCTTGGACAGGCTGCTATGTAAACGGACCTTTAGTCCTTCGTTTAGCTATGCTGCGGTTGTTTACACTACGCCTTTTCCACCTAAAATAGCGTCTTAGCAACAAATGTCACGTGACTGGAGGAGACCGACTGGGTAAGCAAATCGAACGCGCCTTAGACCTTAGAGAAGGCGCGCTCGATTTGCTTACCCAGTTGTCCAGGAATGATATTAATATTATTAATAAGTATTTCGTGCGCACGTTAAACTTATTGCGTGGCCGCGAAATACTACTTCGTGGCCACAATTAAAATTTTTTTTTGACCATGTCATCAGAGGGGCTCCGTAGAAACGTCTTCAAACTTGGAAACAAAGTCCAGTGGATTGATTTTAACTTTTTTGGAATGTTTCTGACCTGGATGACTGAGAATCTTCACCAGCAGAACCAGAGTTAATATCTGCAATTTAGAGTTCATCAGAGAAGTCTAAGAAAAATGTTAACAGTAAATTCTGTTCATGTTTCTTGCTAGAGAAAACTCTAGTTAAAAGATGAGCAAAATAATTCACATGCAGCACCTGTGAATAAACATGAAGTCACTGACTGAGTCCGTCCATGCTGCTCACATGGGAATGTCACGCTCATGTGTGAGTTCTGAGCCCTGAAGTTTGCTGTGAAAGCAGCTAGAAGGTGTCGTCTTTGTCGAGAAAAGGCAACCTCGCTTAAACTCCTAATATTTCAATGTCTAAATTCTCCGTGTTGACCTCGAAATGTTTCACAGCTTCTCGTTTCGTTAATCATCCTGAGATATTTGTTTTGTGGCATTTATCCTTCCTTCTTCAAATAACTGCTTTTTGCTATGTATGTCAGATATGCTGGTTTTTTTCTGCCTGCAGTAACGGCATGTGTACGGAGGAGGATTAGGGCCACTGAAAAAATCTAAAAAGTTAACAGATTTTGTAATTTATTTCTTTATAATATGAGAAAAAAGTCAGAATTCTGACTTTTTTCTTAGTATTCTGACTGAATTCTTACAGCTAACAAACATTAGCATCAAGCGGTAGCCATGTCTGTTTTAGAGACTAAACTAACTCTCTGGTTTTAATCACCTTCTCCTCTTTCATTAATGAAACAGCATCACCAGGGACGCTCAGGCACGTAAAAAGTCGCATAATGTGAGATGTACCGGTTCTGATGGAAACTAATGGGAAATCTACGGAAGAGGATTAGAGCCACTGGAAAAAAAAAAAAGTTAATTGATTTTTAAATTTTATTTCAGTTTAACATGGGGAAAAAAGTCTGAATTCTGAGATTAAAGTCAGAATTCTGAGATTAAAGTCAGAATTCTGAGATTAAAGTCAGAATTCTGAGATTAAAGCCAGAATTCTGAGATTAAAGTCAGAATTCTTTTCCCATATTAAACTGAAATAAAATAAAAAAATTTGTTAACTTTTTTTTTCCCCACTGGCCCTAATCCTCTTCCGTAGAAATGCCTTCAAATTTCCTCTGCTGTTTTTTTTAAAAATAAAAATAAAGACTTAATTCAAGCCAGAGTCTTGAAAAACAAATGAAAACTTTGGTAAAATGATGTCCAGCCTTGTACTTTAAAGTGTTAAAGTATTTTAAAGTATTTCTGATTCTGATACAAGCATTAATGAAGTGGAAGTTTGTCTCCTGTCTGTCTGAATCCCAATATCGTTCTGTTTACTTCAGAGAGATGATCACAGCCTAAACCTTCAGGTTCGTTTTCTTTCCATCTGGGCTCTATTTACTGTGACAGTTGCTCAGTCTTTAGAGGCAGCTGACTGAAAACAGATTGATCGGCTTCTGACGCTCACAATCATTTAGTTGGTAGTAGAAACATATGGGAGAAATGTCTTATTTATCATTAACAGCAACTTTAAATAGGATTTGATCCTAAATATCAGACTTATTAGCAATGCCAAATACTATAGATGAATGTAAACTATGCAGCGGTATTGACTGGATTAAGACAGACGGTTTAATAGACTCCATTATTGGAGGGATGGAATTCTGAAAGAGCTCTTTGTTTGTTTAATAAAACTACTTTTGTCTGAGTCCAGCTGGAATGAAAGTGTCTGTTGTCTGATGAAGAAGGCCTCAGGAATGTTACTGTCTAATGCATTCAGGTCAGTCTGATCCACACCGGGAGGATAAAAGCAGTTTGCTTAAACTTCTCATAACTTCATTTCCTGTTTTTAGATAATTAGTCTGATTAGCGTCTGTAAACTGACACCGTGAGACATCTTAAAAGTTAGAACTTTAATAGTGTGAACAAAGGCGTCAAGGAACAAAGTAGAAATACTTTGTTACCTTAATTAAGTAGAAATGTTGCCTGTCTATACTTTACTGCAGTAATTATTTTTATGCAACTTTTTATTTTCTACTCCTTACATTTTTTTTTTTTTTAGCAATTGTCTCTACTTTTTATTCCTTTAATTTGAAAAATAGACGTGTTAGTTTTGTTTTATTTAAGTTCATTTTCATAATGGCCTGTTGGTATTTGAAAAAATAAAGATAAAAAACATCAAAATAGTTTGTTTCATCTAAAGCAGGAGTAACCAATTAAAAATCAGTGGGGTCTGAATATTTTTTTAATTATAATCTGTTACTTTAAACAGAATTTAACACTGAAATAAAATGAGGTGTTTATGCATCCATGTTATACATAGAAATAACAAAAAATATATAAATATGTATATTAAATAAAAATAGAAAACACCTGAACTGAGCGTTTCTTTGTTTCCTTTCTTTTTTCTGTCTTAATGTTGGCAGTGGGCTTTAGGCTGCCCTGCAAGGCTTTAAACCTGGGTTTAACCGGAGACTAAGCCATTCTCAAGCACATATCAAGGAGCTCATTTTGAGCCTGGATCCAGATTTATTGTTGATTCTGTTCATGGTGGAGAATCCTGCTTCACAGCAGCAGGTTGAGCCAAACATCCTCTAAATGTGCAGGGTCATCTTTGAGCACGCCATTTCACTTTTCTTTCACCAGTTCACCGCAGTTCTTCCAGCAGTCCACACTTTCTCTGCTCTCTTTTTCTCATGGTCTTCTCCTTCTTTCCCATCGCCCGGCTTGCCACAGGTTTGCCTGCTGTGTCTAAAAGTAGCAGCAGCAGCAACCCAGACTGACAGCTCATTGGCTCATTTGGATCACGCGCAGCCTGGAGCCGGACGCTCCCCAGGGCTTTACCGTATTACCAGGAGAAGAGGAGCAAGTGAAATTAGACACTGCCGTCAGATAGCATGTGGTAATTTATAAATGTTTTAAATCAGGGTGAGTCCAGGCCACGGTCCGCTAATCCATGACCTCTGATCTAGACAATTCGTGTTTTTGTGGTTGGACTCGGTGCTGCCCCAAAGTTGGAACTTAAATATTAAGAAATAATGATTTTAAACTGTAACTCATAGCACCCTCCATAAATAATGGCACCCCTGTTTAAAAGGTTTAAAAATCCCTAAAACAATTATAATTTTAAGGCAGTAACATGATTCTAAGATCCTTTCTTCAGTTCTCTGTTAGAGTTTTAGAGACTTTATTTCCAACCCTCCTCACTTTATTTGGCAGGTAGAAAAATGTTGCTCCTTTTTAGGCTGTTTGTCACATTTTCAGTTTTATTCAGCTGTTTTTGTAATTGACTGTAGATATGAACAATTAGATCAAAGAAGCAGCTATTTTTTTGCAGCCTTTTTCGTTATTTAGAGAACACACCTCTGGTCAGGGGCGGATTTAGGGAATGTGGGGCCCTAGGCAAAGACAGGCAGGGGCCCCTCTGAATGGAGAAGACAGCACATAAAACAGCCCCATTCTCCAGATAGAGAAATGTTAATAGAATAGACATCCATTATCTGTTCTAGGTTGTGTCCCTCTCTTCTTGTCCCTTTTCTTCTTGCTTTCCTCTCTATGTTTTGTACTCAGCTGACTTTTCATGCTGTCTCTAAAGGAATGAAAGATTTTTTCCAAGCACTAAGCTCACTTAGCTGATTGCTCCTTCCTGTGTTTCCTAAAAGGCCAAAGTAAATAACCCAGTCCTTCTTTTCACTGTAGACAAGCCATGATCTGCTTATCTGTTCTCCATTTTTCATTTGGATGAAATAATAGCTGCATGAAAGACATACTTAATATTATCAGCGTTCTGATGGCATTTTAGCGAAAATGATTTTTTATCAAAAACATAATTAATGTGCAGAAATAAGGAATAGTTGTATTAACCATCGGCGTCGCCAGACCCCATTTACTGGGGCACGTGCCCCAGTATAAATTTCATGAATATTTGCAACAGTATTACATTTTTTTAATGCATCAATTTAGATATTTCCAACGGAAGGAGACGTATATTTCTACTCAAATGCGCAGCAAGTGTGTTGGTAACTCCAAATTGAGGATGAATTAGCGCCCCCACGTCAGCGCATGTCACTGCATGAACTGCAGGTAAATTAACGCGCTGCTCTCAACTGAGTTGGATGGGACACTGCGGCCACGACGCTTTTTTAGTTCTGGTAACGTTTCTTAGCTGTCAATTTTATTATTTTCCCAGTGAAACCACATGATTTATTTATAGGCTACTAACTGGAAATGACTGCATTGGTTTGTAGATGGATATCAGGAAATTCCTCACACGAAGCAGAGACAGGGAAGCAGTAAAACAAGATGAGAGAGGGAGGTAAGAGCCCGAGATGAATTAGTGATTTAAGCTAAGCAGTTACATTAGGAACGTTATAAGCAATATGTTAGATATTTACATAATTATAGATTTGCGTTTTTTTTATGTTTGCTGTAGAGAATGAGAATGAAGGTGCTGGAGTAGGAAAGGGAGGAGGAGGCGTGACTGACAGGCAAGAGGCAGGTGAAGGACAGGAGAGACAGGACCATGAAGGAGATGAGGGAGCAACAACCAGCGTCCACAAACAAGAAGGGGACATTAGTGACTTAGGGGGAAAGCATGATGGTCCTAAACAAGTGAAGTTGTCCCACCATCCCCAGCACAAATTTGGAGAAAAAAAATGTTAATTTAATTCAAAATGGTTCTGAGCTTTTCCTGGTTAAAAAAGAAAGCCTTGTCATCAAGGATATGCAGTGTGTTTTCAACTTGCTCGATAACACCATGTTCCCCACACTAACGCAGATCATCCAGATCTCCTCACCATCCCAGTCTACAGCTGGAGGTGTGAAAGGTCATTCAGTGTGTTGAGAAGGATCCACACTTGGCTGAGGTGCACAATGGGACAAGACAGGCTCCATCATCTTGCTATTTTATCAGTTGAAAAGGAAGAACTTTCTAAGCTGAGTCACAGTCTAGTGATTGACCGCTTTGCAAAAATGAAAAATAGGAGGTACACTTTAATGCTCATAAAATAAAAGAAAAGCTTAGTTCAGGTTGAGTTAAACTTTCCCCTGAACTAAAACTCTGTAACCTAGGAATTAATGATTACTTCAGAATGTGTATAAGGAAACTTTTTATTTGTCAAAGTTGTTGATGTCTTATTTTTTATAGCTGCAATGTTGAAAATGTTCATGTTTGTTAAAACAAATATGCTCTTACACTCATTATTATCTCAACTGGTAATTTTGGTAGGAATGTATAGACTTAGACTTAGACTTAGACTTCTTTATTTGTCATTTTGTATGCACAGGGTGCATACAGAACGAAATTGCGTTACATACAGCTTATGAACGTTGCATTGATATTTCACAATGGCACGAGTTATAGAAAAATACAAAAAGTGCAGCAGTGGTCAAAGTGTGAACAGTGCAGAGGATAAGAGACAGTGTGCAAGTTGCAGTGGTTCAGTGCAAAATGGCATTTGTGCAAAAAATGCGTTATTGAAAAATACAATGAGATGAACAATTTAAAGGGCTAAAAGTTAAAAGTTCAGCAGCATTTGATGCCCGATAATGTGCAATAGGTGCAGAGTTCGGATTGTGGATCAAAGGTTCAACAGTCTGATGGCAGTGGGGAAGAAGCTGTTGCACAACCTGGTGGATCTGCAGCGGATGCTGCGGAACCTCTTTCCAGAGGGCAGCAGGGAGAACAGTCCATGGTGGGGGTGTGAGGGGTCTTTGATGATATTACGGGCTCGGGACACACAGCGCTGTGATGAAATGTCCTTAATGGAGGGAAGAGGAGCCCCAATGATTCCTTCCGCTGTCCTCACCACCCTCCTCACATTCTTCCAGTCAGAAGCTCTGCAGCCTCCACACCACAGAGAGAGACAGCTGGTCAGAACGCTCTCTATGGTGCTTCTGTAGAAGGTTGTGAGGATGGGCGGGGGCAGGCGGGCTCTCCTCATCCTCCGCAGGGTTGGGCAGTGTGCTTGTCTGTATTTGTGTATGGAAGGAGGGACATATGCGGTAGGGGGCCAGTGCCCCAGTAAAGCTTTGTGCCTAGCAACGCCCCTGGTATTAACCACACATGTAAACAGAGTTTTATGGGGCCCCCAGGAACTTGGGGCCCTAGGCAGCTGCCTAGTATTGCCTAATGGTAAACCCCCCCCCCCCGCCTCTGGTTTACTTTGAGGACGTTTTCTGTTTCCTTTCCCATTTTAAAGCACGGCTCAGAGAATTAGTCATGGTATGTTCGTATTTCAAGTTATTGTTGACAAATGAAAAGGTCGTACAAAACCAGTAAAGTATAGAAGCAAACATAATTCAGTCATCACATAATTATTTTTGTGGAATGGTTATGTTCTAATGATATCATTTTTATAACTTTTTAGATTTTACTAGTAATTTAACACATCGTAACCAGCAGTGGTAGAAGGTACTGTACAGATAAATTACAATCATAGAAAATTAGGTAGATGCTGTACTTCACCTCTACCTGCTTTTAAATGATTGGTTTGTCTCTTACATATATTGTTGCTAAAGTCTTGAGTCATTGACTTGATGTAACTTTTAATTGAATCCTCCTTGGTCCTAATTGTTTACTGCAGGGCGTCAGAAGGGAACCATGTGCAGCTCTCTGAGCCCAAAGCAGCGTGGCGGTCCTGGGCTGACAGACATGCAGCAGTACCACCAGTGGCTCTCGAGTCGTCACGAAGCCAGCCTGCTGCCCATGAAGGAGGACCTCGCCTTGTGGCTCAGTAATATTCTAGGTGAGCATCAATAACGCTCATATTTGTCCAACTTATAGCTAAAATGATGCCTGTATTTGTAAGATACACTGAATAAATGAACATTTTAGAGATATTATCTGCATATTTCTATATTTAATATATCTATATATATTCTATGACTAGTACATAATGTTTGATTCTCGCTTCACTTTTTTGCTTCGCTAGTTAATTTTAAACACCGACTCCTGAATGCAACCAGGACGCTAAAAAATCCCAAAAACACGCCCTGCAAAGCTCCTCATTTTGCCTTTAAGGTATTTATGTGGTGCTGATGTAAACACTTCAGCAGAGAGCTGGAATCGATCTAGGACTCATTACAAACCCATTTTCAAGTCACCAAACAGTGACCCTCATTCAGTGTTCAATAGATTACTTAAAAAGAATAATAGACATCATTAACCTTCTTAAATAATGCAGAACCGAAGCTAAAGACTCTGCATTAGAAGGTTTCTGTGCTGAACTAAAGGAGTGGATGAAATTTTGAGAAGCAGCATCAGTCTATCGTCCTAAATAAGCATATGGGGACTGTGGGCACCAAGTAGAGTGCATGAAGTTCCAGTTAGAAGTTTAGTTTTACACCAATCATGTTGCATGAAATATACACTCACCGGCCACTTTATTAGGTACACCTGTCCAACTGCTCGTTAACACTTAATTTCTAAGCAGCCAATCACATGGCGGCAACTCAGTGCATTTAGGCATGTAGACATGGTCAAGACAATCTCCTGCAGTTCAAACCGAGCATCAGTATGAGGAAGAAAGGTGATTTGAGTGACTTTGAACGTGGCATGATTGTTGGTGCCAGAAGGGCTGGTCTGAGTATTTCAGAAACTGCTGATCTACTGGGATTTTCACGCACAACCATCTCTAGGGTTTACAGAGAATGGTCCGAAAAAGAAAAAACATCCAGTGAGCGGCAGTTCTGTGGGCGGAAATGCCTTGTTGATGCCAGAGGTCAGAGGAGAATGGCCAGACTGGTTGGAGCTGATAGAAGGGCAACAGTGACTCAAATAACCACCCGTTACAACCAAGGTGGGCAGAAGAGCATCTCTGAACGCACAGTACGTCCAACTTTGAGGCAGATGGGCTACAGCAGCAGAAGACCACACCGGGTGCCACTCCTTTCAGCTAAGAACAGGAAACTGAGGCTACAATTTGCACAAGCTTATGGAAATTGGACAATAGAAGATTGGAAAAACCTGGTCTGATGAGTCTCGATTTCTGCTGCGACATTCGGATGGTAGGGTCAGAATTTGGCGTCTACAACATGAAAGCATGGATCCATCCTGCCTTGTATCAACGGTTCAGGCTGGTGGTGGTGGTGTCATGGTGTGGGGAATATTTTCTTGGCACTCTTTGGGCCCCTTGGTACCAATTGAGCATCGTTGCAACGCCACAGCCTACCTGAGTATTGTTGCTGACCATGTCCATCCCTTTATGACCACAATGTACCCAACTTCTGATGGCTACTTTCAGCAGGATGATGCGCCATGTCATAAAGCTGGAATCATCTCAGACTGGTTTCTTGAACATGACAATGAGTTCACTGTACTCAAATGGCCTCCACAGTCACCAGATCTCAATCCAATAGAGCATCTTTGGGATGTGGTGGAACTGGAGATTCGCATCATGGATGTGCAGCCGACAAATCTGCGGCAACTGTGTGATGCCATCATGTCAATTTGGACCAAACTCCCTGAGGAATGCTTCCAGCACCTTGTTGAATCTATGCCACCAAGAATTGAGGCAGTTCTGAAGGCAAAAGGGGGTCCAACCCGTTACTAGCATGGGGTACCTAATAAAGTGGCCGGTGAGTGTAATTCAGCACACAGCTGAGTGCTTAACTTTGGATTTATGCCGTAATGTCTTGGTATTATGAAGTTGCAAATTCTTGAAGGTGACATTTCAAACACTGCATAAAGAAAATATTTAATCATTGTTGAAAATATTTCAGTTAAACTAATGTCACACGTAGCATCCTGCCTGAATCTATGAATATTTTCCTATTTTAGTTAAACCATGTAATGATACTGATACTAAGCACCACAGCCGTTAAGAAATACCACAGATTTTACAACCTTGCAACTACAATCTATTTTCCATGTTTGTTTAATAGGGTTAAAGTCAGGCTTATGATCCAGAAACTAAACATTAGCCTAGTTGGTACATTTTTAAGTGTTTTTTGGCTGTTTGTCCTGTTAAAACAGTCAAAGTCTGGTTTAAAGCATTAAAACCTTAAAAGAAGAAAATATAACTGGGTGGTAATGAACAATCTAATGATCACCAGGAGTGAAACCTACCATAAACTAAAAGATGCTGAAACATTAGCATCGCTGCCTACAATAAAGACAGAGTAGGCAGGGGGGATTTATCATTAGGCAAAACTAGGCAGTTGCTTAGGGCCCCAAGTTCCTGGGGGCCCAATAAAACTCTGTTCACATGCATGGTTAATAAAACAATTCCTTATTTGTGCATATTAATTATGTTTTTGATAAAAATAGTTTTTGCTAAAATGCCATCAGAACGCTGATAATATTAAGTGTGTCTCAGCCCCCCCCTTCAGTGTCCACCATACTGGATCAGTCCATTTGCTGCACATGTTCAGAAAGGTCCAAACAGACAGCAGCAAACCATTTGAAAACAAACCATGCAAAGAGCAGTGTTGCCAACTTAGCGCTTTAGTCGCTATATTTAGCCACTTTTCAGACCCCTCTAGCACTTTGATTTCTAAAAAGCTCCTAGCGCCAAATCTAGAGACTTTTTTTCTGCTACTGGAGACTTTGGAGACAACATCTAAAAGCAGCGAACTCTGCTCTCCAGAGCGAGTAGATTGGTAACCCCGCCTCCTGCTCTCCTCTATCTTGTCTGCTGTCATGATTCATGCAGCTATTATTTCATCCAAATGAAAAATGGAGAACAGATAAGCAGATCATGGCTTGTCTACAGTGAAAAGAAGGACTGGGTTATTTACTTTGGCCTTTTTGGAAACACAGGAAGGAGCAATCGGCTAAGTGAGCTTAGTGCTTGGAAAAAATCTTTCATTCCTTTAGAGACAGCATGAAAAGTCAGCTGAGTACAAAACATAGAGAGAAAAACAAGAAGAAAAGGGACAAGAAGAGAGGGACACAACCTAGAACAGATAATGGATGTCTGTTCTATTAACATTTCTCTATCTGGAGAATAGGGCTGTTTTATGTGTTGTCTTCTCAATTCAGAGGGCCCCCTGCCTGTCTTTGCCTAGGGCCCCACATTTCCTGAATCCACCCCTGCTTATATGGAATCAACATTCCAGTCCACCTTAAATCTGCAAGATAATGTGGACAGAAATTCTCTAATCAGTCAAGACAGAAATTAGTTATTTTCCCATTATGACAAGAGGTGAGGAAAAGCATGGTGGTGGTGGTATCATGCTAAGGCTGCTTCTATTTCAGCACCACCATGTAAAAATGGTCGTTGGAATAATAAATACCGGCTTATAGAGCCGGTATTTATCATCAGACAGAAAATAAGATACTCGCCCCGTGAAGATGGCATGGAAGCTATAACTGCAACTGTGTAGGCAATGTTGAGAGTAAATGAGCAATGTTTGTGGTTCCCACATTTAACTATGTTTGATAACTGGGTGTTTCTCTAAGAGATGTCCTGCAGAGTATAAACAGTCATTTCTAACTTTTACTGCAAGCAGGATGAGCTCCTCCTACAGGATCCGGCTTGAAGGAAGCAATTTAGGAATCTTTCCTGTTATCTCTACAAGTCTGTTTGCTCTGGAACCAGTTGGACCAAAGACCTGGAAATGAAGAATCCAGGAGAGAATTTGGAATTAGAAAGAAAATGCATCAATGCACAGCACCAGGGGCGGATTTAGGACATTTTGGGGCCCTAGGCAAAGACAGGCAGGGGGCCTCTGAATGGAGAAGGCAACACATAAACAGCCCCATTCTGCAGATAGAGAAATGTTAATAGAATAGACATCCATTATCTGTTCTAGGTTGTGTCCCTCTCTTCTTGTCCCTTTTCTTCTTGTTTTTCTCTCTATGTTTTGTACTCAGCTGACTTTTCATGCTGTCTCTAAAGGAAGGAAAGATTTTTTCCAAGCACTAAGCTCACTTAGCTGATTGCTCCTTCCTGTGTTTCCAAAAAGGCCAAAGTAAATAACCCAGTCCTTCTTTTCACTGTAGACAAGCCATGATCTGCTTATCTGTTCTCCATTTTTCATTTGGATGAAATAATAGCTGCATGAATCATGACAGCAGACAAGATAGAGGAGAGCAGGAGGCGGGGGTTACCAATCTACTCGCTCTGGAGAGCAGAGTTCGCTGCTTTTAGATGTTGTCTCCAAAGTCTCCGGTAGCAGAAAAAAGTCTCTAGATTTGGCGCTAGGAGCTTTTTAGAAATCAAAGTGCTAGAGGGGTCTGAAAAGTGGCTAAATATAGCGACTAAAGCGCTAAGTTGGCAACACTGCTCTTTGCAGGGTTTGTTTTCAAATGGTTTGCTGCTGTCTGTTTGGACCTTTCTGAACATGTGCAGCAAATGGACTGATCCAATATGGCGGACACTGAATTCAGGAATAGTTGTATTAACAATACATGTAAACAGAGTTTTATGGGGCCCCCAGGAACTTGGGGCCCTAGGAGCTGTCTAGTATTGCCTAATGGTAAATCCCTCCTGCAAAGCATTGAGTCACTTTGTCAATTCCACATTGTTTTAGGTTAAAAGACTTATATTAATATCTTTACCAGAGCCCAGTAGGTGTATATGCCCCGACCCCCCCCTCCCACACACACACACACACACACACACAGCAGGGGCCAAGAGTCAAACATTAGCATAAAATAGTTACTTTCAGAAAATGTCTCCAGATTTCAGTGGCTCTTTTTCTGGACTTAGCTGCAACATTTGGAAGTCATTAAACATGGAACCCCAAACCCCCCCCCCTTATAAGAAACAGAAATGGGATTAAAACTGAAATCTCTCCAGTTTTTTTTCCACAGACACCCAAACCAACCCCTGCCACCCCTCCTGTTTCACAATGACCTAACCACAAAAATATGGGTCTCTGGAACGCAGTCAAGTGGACGCCACATGTTGATCCCCAATATATATTTATCTATATGTGCAATATGATAATGGAGCTTTATTAAGAGCAAGCGGATGCCCCTTCTTCCTCTGCGCCATCCATCGCGGATGTATCAGAAAATCCCCCAAATTCTTCCTAATCTACATTTTAAACTATGACCTCCCGAGAGATTTCTGCAAACCCAGCAGCAATAGTGAGACTTGATCATTAAAGCAGTTTTGGAGAGTTGAAAGCATTACATCAGGTTCAGGAATGAACAGGAGATTGAATTTTATTTCTTTATGCGGTGCATATTTTAAATGAGCACGCCTTTGATGGATTTATGGTGTTGGACTGTCTTCTTGTCTTTATGTGTCCCCCCGCTCAGGTCTGGAAATCACAGCTGAGAGCTTCATGGATCGGTTAGACAATGGTTTCCTGTTGTGCCAGCTGGCTGAGACGCTGCAGGAGAAGTTCAGGCAGAGTAATGGAGACCTGCATGAGCCTGGCAACAGCAAGGTACAGAGAAATCGGAGAATCACAGTTAGATGGCGTGAGACAGATTACAGTGAAAACACTCATTTGGACGTTAAATTGTGGCTGAAAGTGTTCCCAGACTTTCTTTTATTGTGAATGATTTTCCAGAGCATTGTTCCTGAGTGAAAAAAGTCGTAAAAATGTTCACTGATTTGATCTGATTGAGCAAAGGTCACTTTTGGTCTTGAGTCTTTTAACAGCTTCCCTTAAACATTTGATTAATATAACTTTGTGGGCGTAATGCTGCTAAGGTCAGCCCTCAAAAGCCACTTTGTGCTTTTTGAAAAACAGATTTATTGTTGGTTGAAGTTTGGCAGGAGACAGAAATCACCACCTGCAGTAACATCAAACAGATATAAAAGATTTTACTTCATAGAGCATAAAGGGGACATAGAAGGAAAACGGTACATCCACAAAAAATTACAGTTAGAAACATTTGGTCTCAAAAGTTGCCTTATAGAGACATTTTTCACTTAAGTGTTTTTATCTCTTTATAAACCAACATGGCCGGCAAGGGGAGGATTAATCCGAAAAGCAGGCAAGAGGCTCTTGTTGTCTCTGAGAGAAGCAAAGCTAGGGTGCTAAAACATTTTGACCGGAAAGCTTTCAGCTGTATGGATTAGACGGAGTATTAGGGCCAGGCTTTTTGTTCTATTTCGAGATTAAAGTTGTAACATTACAAGAATAACATCATACACTGGAAAAATCGAAATCTAGATAAGTTGTTTTCTTCTGAAAATAACTGCATTTGTTCTTGAATTGAGGAGATAAAAGAGACATTTTGCCAATGGAACAAGACAATTTACACTTAAAATAAGAAAACACAATTGCATTGTCTTATTTCAAGTGAATATTATCTAATTGTCTTATTTTAGGAGTAGAAATACTCATTCCATTGGCAAATCACCTTATTTACCTGCTAAAAGTAAGGGTAAATGCACTTAATTTAAGAAATTTCTACTTATTTCTAGATCGTTTTTCCAGTGTAAAATTGCGAGAATCAAGTCCTAAAATTCCGAGAAAAAAAACAACAACAAAAAATTTGGGATGCAGGATATAATCGGCCCCCTATCGGTATCGGCCTTAAAACTGAATATCGGACATCGGCCACCCCACCGATATTTAACCCGATATTTGATCAGCTTCTGAGTTTCTAAAGTCTAAAAAAATAAATAAATAAATAAATAAATACTACTTCTTCTTCTTCCTCAAAAACGTCTTTTTTACTGACTTAAAAACTTTGAAAGACGAGGGAAAAAATATTGATCCATTAAAATATCCCAATATCTTCATATGCTGATATATTGCCATTTAAAAACACCATATCAATCTCTTTTACTAATGAAATATTGCTATATGTCATTGTTATGCTACGAAATCCCCTGAAAATTCATGAAATTTTGCCATATTTTTATATGTTGATATATTGACGCGGTATCGATCTATTTTACTAACAAAATCTCACAAGAATTTGCAAAATATCACGAGAGTTTGTAACAGAACAATGAAATTTCACCAGATTTTGAAAGTAAAATAGATCGATACCGCGTTTTTAAAAATCAATTTGATATCAGCATATGAAAATATATTTGAGTATATTATTTTTCAAAGTGTCAGAAATGGATAACAAAACTGCTATTTTCAATGACTACTTATTTTTGTCCAGCTTTAACATCGGTATCGATATCGGTTATCGGCTACATGAGTTTTAAAATATCGGCATATCGGATATCGGCCAAAATCCCAATAACGTGCATCCCTACAAAAAAGATTCTAGCCTGGCCCTAATACTCCGTCGTAGTACGGAAGCAAAGTACGGAAGCCAAAAGCGGTCGTACTCGAGACTCGTGTTTTCTCGAGATAACAAGATAATTATCTCATTATCACGAGAAAACAGTGATTGATTTCTTGAGATAATGAGATGATGAACCTGTCAGTAATGAATGAGGCTGGCCAACAGCCCTGGATTCCCAGTCCATCCATGCCTGCGGCGGCTACAGTTGTGCAGTCGTGGTACCACATGTGTGCAAATAATCAGTGTTTTAGTTTCCTTTTTCTTTTCACTGGATGATTGGATTGCATAGAATACAGTAGAAACAAATCAGACAGTTTTTTTTAGTGAAAAGCTTTAATCTGGACTCATTTTGGGGGTAAATGCATCTTATAGCTGTTACAGGCGAAACACCGCGGCTGTTCAGAAAACACCTGGAGGCAAAGGTCTAAGGCTACCTTCACACCGCAGCCTGAAGTGACCCAAATCTGATTTCTTTGCCCACATGCGACCTGGATCTGATCTTTTCATGGCAGACTGAACAACACTGATCTGATTTTTTCCAATGCGAGGCACTTGGCTCTGTGGTCCTGAATCCGATACGAATCTGATCTTTTCAAATGCGACCTGTGTGTCTGAGCGGCCCGGTCGCATTCATCCAACCTGAACGCCATTAATACCCGACAAAGGTCACTATTCTGGGTATTGCTATGAAGAAGTGGCAAGAAAAACAAACAACATGGCGGACGATGATGCAGAGAGTAGTTTTTTCTTTTTTTTTTAACCATCTTGACAGTTTTAAGGTTTGGAAAGATCATAAGATGTTCTCCAGCCCTACCCTCCATGTTTACTTCCGTAAACACAGAGCACTTTGGCTTGTGACATCATTGCGTCCTCTACTGCACATGTGCGACACTTAAACTGAATGAACAGTTCACTCAGGAGATCCCATACAAGTTGCATGTATTTGGAAATGTGAACGGCAACACAAAGAAATCGGAATTGAGCATCAAGGCCTGCAGTGGGAACGTAGCCTAATTGCTTAAGGATCAGAAGTGAAAGCAAATCATCAAACCAACAACGTCGTCTCGTTACCTAAAAGTTAAACACTTTTTTTTACAGAATTGCTCATAGGCGGCCATGACTTATAAATCTTCTCCCGCTGTCGTGGTATTGAAGGATGTAATCAGTTTAACGCCAATCATCTCGTTATGATGAGAAAACGGCTTTGTTATCTTTAGATACTGAGAAAAATTATCCGGTTTTCTAGAGAAAACCACAGTGAAAAAGTATCAGAGGGACACGACCGCTCTGGGCTTCCGTACATTTGTACGTTCTAAGAATTACAGAAAAACAGCAGCAGAGTTTTTAAGAACTTCTGCTTCTAGTGATTAAGGCGTGTCAGAAAGGAGACGCATCTAATAGCTGCAGGATTTAGATGAAATTGTTGAAATGTCAAAGCCCAGCTCCTAAGTCTAGCAGAGAAACCAATCTTTGGCAAAAGTTGAACATTCGTTCTCTCTTCATAAAGCCTTGCACACCTTAAACCAGGGGTCTTCAACGTTTTCCAGGCCAAGGACCCCAAACTGATGTATAGATGGAGCGGGGACCCCCTAATTATATATATTGTAATCAATTGTGTTATATCAAACTGGTCCTATATGTAACGAAAGTAATTTCTCTGTGGGATTATTAAAGTATTTCTGATTCTGATTCCTGGTTTATGGGTCACACTGGAAAAAATCAAAATCTACATAAGTCATTTTTTCTTAAATTAAGTGCCTTTTTTCTTGAATTTAGGGGGTAAGTGAGACACTTTGCCAATGGAATAAGACAATTTACATTTAAAATAAGAAAACACAAATTCATTGTCTTATTTCAAGTGGATGTTATCTAATTATCTTATTTTAAGAGTAAATATCCTCATCCCATTGGCAATTAATCTTATTTACCTACTCAAATTAAGGGTAAATACATTTAATTTAAGACATTTTGACTTATTTCTGGATGGTTTTTGCAGTGCAGGTGTTGTGAATGAATCGGTTTCCAGCTTGAAAGAGCTCCTGCACTGCAAAAATATTCTACAAATGAGTAAAAAAATTTTAAAATAAGTGTATTCACCCTTAATTTAAGCCGGAAAATAAAATGATCTGCAAATGGAATGAGCATTTTGACCCTTGAAATAAGATAATTAGATATTATGCCCTTGAAATAAGAGACTTCAGTTGTTTTTTCTTATTTTAAATGTTAATGGTCTTATTCCATTGGCAAAGTGTCTGCTCAATTTAAGACGAAATCCACTTATTTTAAGAAATAATTAGTAAATTAGATTAACAGTTTTTGCAGTGTTTGTGTCGCTGAATGTGTGCATTGATGACTGAAAGTTGTAGTTTACTACAGTCTGTTGAATTCATGTTAATGTGGATTTAAAGACATTTCAATGAGTGGAAAAAATTGCAGTGGGAAAAAAAAAAAAAAAGTCTAATCAACCAAAACTTTCGCGACCCCCATGCAGAACCTCTGTGGACCCCCTAGGGGTCGCGGACCCCCTGTTGAAGACCTCCGCCTTAAAATATTTTGCAAAGAACAATTGGAAGAAATGTCAGTTTGTAGATGTGAAAACTGATAGAGACATTTCCTCAAATGACTACCAGCTGTATTGTGTAGCAAAAGCTTGAATTTGAACAAAAAGCTCAGACATTTTCTTTTTTAGACATAAAAAAAATTTATTGTATCTTAGAAACACTACTTTGTGCCAATCTATTGCACTAAATCCCAAAAGAATGTATTCAAATCTGTGGTAGAATGATAGGAAAATGCAAGAAGAAAATTTCAAGAACTTAAACCCTTTTTCAAGGTTCTGTCATTCAGTGAGGTCAGCATAGCATATATTTCAACTTTGCCAAGAGCTTGACTGTTTCTCAAAGTAGACAAAGAGTAAAGGTGGGGGGTGGGGTATGGCTGTCTAGATTGGATGAAATTGGGAGAGAAAAAACTAAGCCAAGCGGGGCCCCGCGGCCCCTGGGAGAATTGAAAGATTCAGTGTGCGAAACGTTTTCTGAGCCTTGGTGAGGTTTTCACAAACGTCTCAAGGAGAAATCCTGAAATTTCGCCTCCTTTTCTCCACTAATCTCAGTGTCATTGGACTCATTTTGTAGTTATCTTTTTCCTTTATAACAAATTTTTTATTAATTCAATAATTTTTTCTTCT